TCAGGTTAACTAGCCAAAAATTGAACTCTTGAACCACACGTGCAATTCCTCATAGTAATGTCCAGCGTTTTTTCTTTCATTCAATCAAACAAAAACAAGCAGCATTTTCTTATGTCTCATTATGCACGGAAGGTTCTTTATGAAGAGTAGCTAGTTCGATTACTAGCGATTAATTGTAGGCGGTAACTCTGACATCATCTGGATCATTTTTCGAAACGTCCTACTCGTAGTGCATGTGTTCTCGTGCATTTATATCAATGTCTCTGTAAGTATAGGCACTGCTGTTAATATAGTCGTTTTAGACGTCATTCATTGAGCTTTAATTCTGACGTGAATTGTTAATTGACTTTATCGTCCCTTCGAAATAGGTTGATTGACCTCCCTGCATTTACACTACTGCCGCTATTCTATAAGAGAGATTATACTATGTCGAAAGGAGTGTATGCATATGTCCCATTTGTGTTGTGCAGTGATATAGTTAATATCTATTTATGCAGTGCCGATGAAAATGCTCGGTAGCCAACAAAGATCTTTAGCAGATATATTTTATTAAAAACAGCACGATCTTGTCTCCTAGGGCGAATGTAGAGAATGTGACACCCTATACTGACTTCTCTGGTTTTTATTTCTCATCCTCAGCTGGGCCACAAATGTTTTGTTATGCAAAAGCCTTTCGCCCAGACCAGGACAAAGTTGTCTGCAATTACATGCTCTGCATCTTCACCAAGGCTGAGTAGGCACTGCCCTTCTGCCGAACCGCAGCTACGAAACGAGTCTTCAGTTACTCTGTTTTTATTAGAATGCCTCACGAGCCACGAAACCCACGAAAACACATGCAGAGTGCGTGCATCCTGCTTGCAAAGTGAGGCAAATTCATGGAAACTTGAGGGGGAGGGGGGTGCAAAGAGGTGTACATTCACATAGCGAATATTTTCTCCACAACAAACGACAGTGCCTGGCACCGCAGCATCCCTCCACAGTACAGGTCTCCCCTATACATCAAGTACAATTCAATACCCCCCCCCAACACACACACACACACAAAAACGCCAGGCCTGCGCAGACAGCGCAGCACAGTCACAGCGAAAGCGAAGAGCGGTATATGAGAGCCTTTTCTAAACACTCACTGGGTAACTACTGCAAGCACACTTGCTGGGTACCCACTAAGGCATTAATAATAATACTTTCTGGGTAGTAGGCCAGCATTACGCTAGGCTATCCTTCGTCATTCATTGAGAAGCATGGTATCCGCTAAACATTTGCAAAGAATTTTGTGCCGATTGTTCATGCAGTGGCTGACGAAGATGAGGAATTATACATGAAGTGGGTATGCACCACAGTTAATAGGTGATTCAGAACAAACTTTGTATAATTGGTTGGAGCATTGGTTGACCCACATGTTGCGCTATCCGCATTGTGTGGCGCCTGGTTGTTCTTTTGCTGTCTGCCTAAGGCAAGTTTGCAAACAAGTCCCAAGCACCGCTGTTGCTCAGTGGTAGAATACTGGGCTGGCACACAGCAGACCCGGGTTCGAGCCCCACTGTGTCCTTAGTACTAGGTTTTTTTTCTTATTTCATGCAATAGTGGTTACGGACACCGGCGGCGGACAACTATGGAGCCATGCGTGACCCGAGTTCTGATCTCGTAACAGCTTTCACCTACCTTAAATTTTGCCTACTTTACTGCCAGGGGTGGGACAGAGTTTGATTACCCTGAAATCTACACCTCTCATATGTGTGTAAGCCTAGACACAACGAAATGCATGATCATAGCTAAAAGAGGGTCCGACACCACCCCTTCCACACACACGCGCACAAAAAGGACTGACTGTGCTGGCAGCGAGAAAGTCCAGCTGCCAGCCTCTGTAGCAGCTGCTGGTGACCTGCACACATGACGTCATGGCCAACCACATGCAACCCTGTGTGTTTACAATCTTCCAAAGATAGAGACATCTCAAAATACACACCGTATATCCTAGCAGTCACATATTCCGCGTTGCATTCGATGTTTCCCTCACATTTTTGTTCAGCATCCCTTTAACGACAACAACAAACACACAATGCATGCGCTGATTCCATTTTGCAATCTGCCATCTTGGCTTGGCAGAGAAGTCAGCATATTATTGAGGGCGAACCAGCACTCTTGCCTTACGAGTTCCATAGTCGGGAACTGAGAAGAAGTTCTCGGAATGTGCACGGGATACCAAGGTTGAGGACAGAGCACAAGCCTTTGAAGTGTGCCCACCCATGGAAGTCACCAAGACTTGTGTGCATAAGGAAGCACAGGTCAGAGGTGCAATATATGATGTCAGTGAGGCCACGATGTGTTTTACTGATCATTTGCATGGTGTTGGAGTGCACCTAATTGCACTGCTTCATACTTCATTAGGACGGGAACAGTGCTAAAGACTGAACAGCGGAGGAATGACAGACACAGCATTGAACAAACAAAAATCTAACAACAATAGGTTTATTTTAGTGAAATATGCAATATATCTACACACAACCTTCATGCAAAAGTCCAATGAAAGTTGAGTTGAGTTAGGTTAATTCAACCACGTGACAAGTACACGAAAATATACTGTATACGTGGTTTGGTATGGAGAGAACAGAAATCATCACACCACATGCATCATAGACTGTCACATTTTCACAATATTTGTATCACAGCTACACAAGGAAACAGAAGATATGCTGAAGTAGGTGTTTCCATGTGTATAAATATGATATGCTTCAAGAACCTCAATGTGCTCCCTTCTTTCTGTACTTTTCAAAGACAGTGGGCTGCTCAAGGATTGGCTGACAGCTGCATGTGAGCTCTCTCAGCTGGTCGTTCAAGCATCAGCCTTTTTGGCACATATAGCAACACCTACACACATGAAGGCGGAACCTACACTGGTGGGCACAACAATGGGAAGTGTGATGATAGTAGTCAATAGGCAAGCCATGAGGACTATGCGAGCTAGAAAAAAAATGAACAGCTTTGGTGTGATGAGGATCTGCATTAGCCATGAGAGGATGTCCAAAGGGCATTGCAAAAGCAGCAAGCTGGTCAATCATGACCGAACGCTCTGGCATTGAAGATAGTGTACATTGGCACATATGCCCATACAAGTGGGTGTACTGCAGCAAGTGCAGTAGCGCACTTCTCAAATCCTCATAAAGATTGTAAGATGAGCGAGTTGGTGGGTGTTCATGAATTTAGCCTATGAAAAAATGCACACCTAGGAATGAACGTTCATCTATTAGGTGAGTTGTGTGGATGCGTGTGTTCTTGAACGCCATGATGTGGTCTAGAATCTTGGGGTTTTGACTTCCCCGTGGGTGCAACAGCCAAAATACAATTTGAGCAGTTTTTGCAGCAGCAAAATATTATTTTTGGAGCACTAAAATTCAAACTTGGAGCAGGCTTATTCTTTTAATTCATGTATCAAAGAAATCATACTTTCTTTATCATGAAATACCAAATTTGGAGCAGTAAAAATAAGAAGGCTTACATTTCGAAAAAAAAATATGCATAAACCATTCAACATCACCTAAATTAGTGCAATGTGAACATGAGCACTACTATTTCAATGAAAGTGGTATTTGAACCCACCCCACTGAGCAAACAGTGATGAAGTTATTACTAGCATTTGCTGTGCCTGTCAAATCATTTGACAGACTCTGAGAATTTAAATATAAATCTGCCAAGCTCGCAACCTTGAAATTTGGGAGATTCGTAAAACTGAGAAGTAGGGGTGGTAAAAAAAAAAAAGAAACGACGGGTAATTTTTTTTTAAGGGGAGCAGAAATGACATACACTGTTCCATATGATTGTCAGTAGCTTATTTAGACGTCAGTTATTTTACGGGTACTCAGAATTATGCGGCGTACAAACTCACTGAGTAACCTAGCAAAATGTCCAGTGTCCTGTGAATAGCAGCTAACAGCCCCTTCTATATCTCAATACGCTTTTAGATGGGCACCGGTGTGATGCGGCGAAAGTGGCTTAAGCAGCGTTTTCTGCATGGGTTAGAGCCAAAACCGAGAAAATGTCCAACTGCTAGCTGCCCCCCCCCCCCCCCACCAACTTCTCACCTTTTTATTCTTTCACCAAGGGGGGTGAGGTCCCACTTCAATTCTCTTGAAAAGACCGTTTGACCAGGTAAAATAACAGCGCATGCCCGTTGGCCCTGCGACGGTCCCGGATATCTATCACCAGGACCATAACCAAAACGATGCCACTGCATTGCCACTGCTACGGCAATCGACGTGGTCACTAGTAACACCGGCATTCACAGCATATCGAGCTCGTTCATGCGAGAAAAACACTGCATACACTTCCAGCTTCAGTTCCTAACAAGCCATAGCCGCGTTTTCAGGCTAGAAAATTTACAATTGCCGCGAAGTGTTGGTGGCTACAGCAATGCATTTTTGTCTTGAAGTTCTGTTGTCCCAACGATAGGCCTCCGCTGCCGGTAAACGAACCAACAGGCACGCAGCGTTGTTACTTTATCTTATCGGGTCATATTTTAAGTACACTTTAGACACTATAGTTGGAGTCTTCGTACCTTCACGGATGGCGCAAACTGCAGGTAGCCGACGCGGCCTGCATTTCTCGCTGAAATTAGTGCACCTGAGAATATTTTTTAGGCTGCCTAGGGCGTTTTGGTGCAATTTCAGCAAATTTAATGGTTTTGGCACAGCTCGGCACAACAACCTGAAATTGTATTAAATTGGCACAATTGGCACAGCTGTTGCACCCCTCATTCCCTTTCCGGGCAGAATAGCTTCCTTCTTTTTGTATTCTAGTACACTCTAAAGGCCTGACTACACGTACACCTTGCAGTGCGTGGTGTGTACACTCAGGAGCACACAGTCTCCTTATGATGGGAGAGCGTGAGTGGCTACACAATGCTGCACACTCCCTTTCTCCATAGGGATAGAGTGCAGCGTTAAGTCCACAGTAATGTGCTGCAATGCATACATGAGGTCACACCTTAATTATAGTGGGGTCACTTATTAACAAAGCACACAAACTTTCATACTTTATTTGTTCTACCTCCTTGCATGTCAAGACACAGCAACGGCTGCCAATCACCTGGTTGGCATTACCTACAAACTGCAACAAACACTAGTTTGCCTCACTTGCAAACTTTAAGGTGACCGCTGCCATTCATCCACGAACTGTTTCCAGGGGCTCCCATAAAGGTCGGGCAGCAGCGAAAATGCCTGGACAGCTGCCTCTCTAATGGTGGGTTCTGCACATACACAACAACAAGACACATTGTAAAGGTCTGATAACTGAACCATTATCTAAGTTTGGTTAAAATTCAAAGCAAGCACTCAAAAAACAGAACAGCTAGGTAAACTATACACTCAAACCTCATCATAACAAACTTGCACCTTACACGAAAATAAGTTAGTTATGTCCGAAAATTAGTTATAAAAGTTCATTTTAGCACTATATTGCAACAATAATCTTCATTTATTTCGTTATAACCGATATTTCGTTATATCCGGTTTCGTTGCAATGAGGTTTCAGTGTACTGCATATACATTTCTGAACAGTTATAGGTGCCTAATTCACTTCAGGTGAAAAGTTGAAGGCAAAAGATATGTATATCCAGAGACCCTGCTTGACTTTTGGTACAGTGACTATTGAGGCACACTCCATCACCACATGTAGAAGACTTTACTTCCTGTCTCAGCCATAGCTTGGTATTTTATTATGTCCAAAATCAAATAAGCCTGTTCCCTTGGCCCAAAGCTGGGCAGATATCTTGAAACTGTATTGCAATACAATACAAAATACTACTACAATTCAACTGTAACCTAAGACACTTCAATACATTTACAAATGTTTTATGTATTAAGATCTATATAATGTAACAGCAAACACTTATGTGTTTACTGCTACGTTATAAAAGACCAAGAACAAACAAACAAAAAAACATCGCGAAAAACAAAAAGGGGTGGGAGGAGGGTTTCAATAACCAGCGCCAACATCAGCATTGCTGTTTTATAGTGGCTAGGAGTGGCCGAACACATGAGGGTAGTTTTTTTTTCACTAAGCTGAGAGTCTCAAAGGATCAACACAACTGGCAAAATCTATTTCAGGTCAAAACAACTCGCGTTTGTTTTCCAGGGACACATGTGAACGGATAGGACAGCACAGCTGGCTGTCGCAAAAGCTCGGGTCGAAGCTTTGCTCACGACTAGATTCTTCTGACAGGAACGCCAAAACGCATCTGGCCCCTTTTTATTGCGATAGCAATTATATGGACAGTCCACACTGTTTATTTTTTTGCTGTCGTCACCGCCGCCGTCCTTTACCGTATCTGTATACGTACCGTATCTATATATATGAACACTCAAAGAAAAAAAGCCGCCCACGCTCGGCGCCGAGCTCGTCGGGATGCGCCGTCGCATGCTCATCTCACACATGTACTTTGCCCCATGGATGGATGCCTGTGCGCGAGCGCTTATCCTTTGGTGGGGGAATCGTGTGTCTTCAGCTTTCATTGAAACGAAAGCGTTAGTTTTCGGGCCCACAAAGGTCACTTTGGTCTCTGCACAGGCCCCTTCTGCAAAAACAGCGCGCTTTTCATACACAGTGAGGTATAACAACTGAGACACTAGTTAGTTTGTACTCATCTGTACCTGTGATTACGTATCGTGCATCGTTTTTGTTTAAACAGCGCGTTACGTGACGAGCGGTAAACGCTGTTAGTTTGCTCTCGTCCTGTATCGTTTTCGTGCGTCTTTATTGCTCCGCCCTTGCGGCAAAACTGTAACTTCTTTTAATCTTTTACGTATTTACTGTCTTTAACCTACTGCTATGTGCCCTCGGAGCTCGTAGATCGCTATCGCGTCGTCGTGACCGCGGTTTTGTGCGCGGCAGTTGCGGCAAACGATAGCTTGCGCACGCGCCTTCAGAACCAAGTCGTTTTATGCCATCTACGATAGCGTCTGCCGCAAGTTTGTCCGCGGAGTTTGCGGAAAGCAGCGTTGCTTTGACTGGTTGAACGCACACTTTCGGGGTTCTCTCAGTTACGTCGTCACCACACATGATCGTGTCAAGATCGACCGCGATTTCGTCCTCAGCGGTTGTGGCAACGACAATCACACGCACTGTAGAGCGCCGGTCGCACGCGTACTTATGAAGCCTTGAGTATGCTGCTCTCAGCCTTCGTTCGACGGTTTCCCTACCTAAGTTCGTATCACCCGCCGTGATTAGGAAATGTGTTCGGAACATTCGAATTGAGGCTGAATGAACATAATAAAATTTGGCTGGGGAATTTAAGAATTCGTATCTGCCGCTGTTTCGCATCACTAAGATTATACTGTACATTTACATGAACGCCTTTTAAACTCGTTTTTAATAAAACGGGGTAGGTTCGAAAAGCATGGAGCGGATTTAGCTGCTTTTTTGTCAATGCGGCCAGATCAGGTGCAGAAATTTCGATTTCTGGGAGATTTTCATGACAACTGTACAACCGGAAAAAACGGTCAAAATGGGGGAGTCTCCCGGCCAATTCGAGAGACTTGGCAGGTATGCAAATATTACACATGACCAGTCTAAACCCACGGTGGTTGATAGCACTGTGTGTATACAAATCGACACAACTAGCACATTTGCTGCTCTTAACACGTGAAAAATTACTGTTTCATCAAAGGACCCCTCACACCAGTTTCGGAAATGCGAATGCTTGTGTTATTTGAGTCCTGCAAGCAGGAGCACTCCTGAATGATTATTAGTGACGACGGTTGCCTGTAAGACATTCTAATTTGGTTTTAAAGAAATAGTGCATGCTCGTATGAGTATTCAGGTGCAATCGACCAATTTCTGTGGTTTGACACAGCCAGTGGATCCCCTCTGGCCGTTTCAGAGGTCAAGCAAATATTGTCGACCTCAGAGAACAATTGCGCGGCATGCAGGGTACCTCAAGTGGCACCCAGCAAGGACCATAGTTCGTCAACTCTGCCGCTCTGTTGTTGGGCTGCTCCCAAGGTGGGCTTGGCTGCGTATGCCACGAATTCTTTTCTTTTTTCTGAGGAGGACACGCTCGAAGCACCCATGAAACACCTATATTGTTTCAATTTTCACCGGTCGCGAATCCTCCTATCTGAAAGCGGTGGGTTCAGCGTCACACGTTACCGAAGCTTGAGCGCATGTAGTTTCATGCGCTGCCCAGCTATGGGGTGCTAGTTTCTTATGATACTCAAGCCGGCGTTTCAAACTGATGCAAGATCATTGTGAATTATAATGCTAACATTAATTATACGATGCATTAGGTTATTTACAATGCAATTTCAGCATTACCAGATGCAAAGCAACAAGCTACAGTAAAAAAGTCGCAAACAAAACTTTTGATGTCAGGGGTCCTGAAAAGCTTGTAAGTACTTGAGTGATCTTATGCAAAAACATTTTGCTGCTCCCATAGAGGAAATAACAAAAGCAGTACACTCAAACCTCGTTATACCGTAATGAGATATAATGTAATAATGGATATAACAAAGCAAATGAAATTCCTCTTGAAAGCTCCACTGAGAACCATCCATTTTAAACCTCATTGTAACAAAGTAAATTTGACCGGTATATGGATATAACAAACTAAACTAGCCTATAAAAAAAACTGCCGCAGTGTGTTAAGTATATCGTTTTCTGTGAAGATCGACGCTAGTTCGGCGTGGCTCTTTCGAAACTCCCACGCCAAACTTACAGCCAAGCCAAGCGCAGCCGAGAGAGCCATCATCTTCGCACAGCCAGCGGAGTGGTAGAGGGAGCGCTGGGCGGGTCACATGACAGAGAAGTAGCGCCGCGGTGCAAGGCGATTTCTGGCAATTCCCCTTTCAAACCGGTTCGCACCAGGCCTGTCTCCCTGCTGCTGCGCAGTCGTGGTTAGTCGTGAGGCTTGTCAATGTGTTTGCACAGTGCACGTGCTCTTCGACGACGGATATCTGCTAACTGCGGTCGCCTGTGTACGGTCACGTTGCCATGGATGAAGGCTGGGGAAAGCGCACACGAAAAACGCTATCGTTAGAGCAAAAGGCAGTTATTTTAAAAGCTATCGACTCGGGGACGAAGAAATCTCGGGTGGCCCAAGACTTCGGCATTGCGGTGAGCACATTGTCAACAATTCTCGCCACCCGTGAAGTGATCACAAATTCCATTACCCACGGTGTGAAAGGCAGATAGCAAGAAGCTGCAAACTGCGGCGTTCAAGCTAGTTGAACATGCGGTTTATAAATGGTTTCTAAACGCTAGAGCAGCGAATATGACAGTAAGTGGCGAAATTTTAGCTGAGAAAGGCTAGAAATTTTGCCTGCATAATGGGCCATGGCAGTTTCGTCGCCAGTACTGGCTGGCTACAACATTTCAAGGAGAAGGATGACATCGTTGGAAGAGCAGTAGTGGGCAGGTCTTGTTCCGTTGATGCCGAGTCGGCAGCGGCGATGGGTGAAAAAGAGTTTCGGCCCAGTGGAATAAAAATATGCCCGTAAGGACATTTTTAATGCCGGTCAGACTGGGCTCTTTTTCTAAATGCTCCCTAACAAAACTCTGTCACTCAGAGGTGAGCTGCGCCACGGCGGGAAGCACAGCAAGCAAAGAATCACTGTGCTGCTCTGCACAAACATGGATGGATCGGAGAAGATGCCGGCATTCGTCATAAGAGAAAGTGCATCGCCGCGGTGCTTCGAAGAGAAGCGAAACCTGAAGGTGCGATATGTCTCGAATAGCAAAGCATGGAGGACGCGCGACTTTTGCGAAATGGTTGCAGGATTAAGATGAGCAACTGCGTAAGCAGAACCGCAAGGTGTGCTTAATGCTAGACAATTGCATCGGCCCACACACAACTGCTGAACTTCGCAATACAGTCAAGCCCACATATAACGGCTCACTTACAATAATTTCCCTTAAAACTAACAATATCCGCGTGACCGTGAAAGTGTACAATGGTTCAATGGCACGAAATCGCACTTGCAACGAATGTCTCCGAGCGCCGCTGATCGGTTACAACAAACGGAGGCAGCCATCTGCCAACTTCCCGGGAAACCAATTTCGACCATGGATCAGGCATCGGCGAGGTGCGCGTACATTCTTATTGTTAAACGCCGACCCTGCCTACGCGACCCTCTAGTTGCCGCTCTCCCCAAACCATGGAGGAAGGAAAGTTGTTTCCTTCCTCCATGCCCCAACTGCTTTTTGTTATGCACCCCTCCATCCTTTGTCCTCCCCGCTACTCTGAGCACCCCG